TGTTGCGAATGGTTCCTTGTTTTTAAATGCTTAAATAAAGAATAGCTTTTAGTTTCGTTTTCTCTCTTTCACATATCAATAAAAATTGGTGCAGTCTTATTTGAGATCTCAAATTTTAATATTTTTGACAAGAATAAAGAATGTTAAGTACACGACTGTGAAGAAACGTACTTCAAAAACTGGGTATGTTTTTTTTTATTAACAGAAAGTAGCTTGTATGAAACTATCCAAGATCTTTGATAAACAAATGCTACATACTATTGTAATTAATCACCATATTTAAAATATTTTTACACGTCTAATTGCAATCGTTTTGAGATTGAAAAAAAAAAAGATCTAGGACGGTGAACATAGAACAAGAGTGTCGAAAGAGAATTGCAAATTCCATTGAATATACCTTACAACGCTGTGTGATTGGTCAGGAAAACTCGCCACACTGTTTTAACCAATCAGATACGGGACAACACTCAAACAACCAATAAGGCTTCCGACCAATTGACGCCGGTTAAAGTAACAGCTCATAACAAAAACATTAGTTCATCTAAGTAGCTTTATTTAAAACTTACGACTTCCGTCCAGGTTTGAGCTTCCACATTTATATGTCGGCCACTTTCCTTTCCGGGCTAAAAATATTGGGGGAAAATATTTATAAGATATGTAATAAGTTTCTTTGAATATTTAAATAAAGAAAAAGGACAAAGGACGAGGTTACACAACATGTTCGATATGCGAGGTGTAAAGATGACAAGTAGAACGAAACCTCCTTATGATGACATTGGAGGTGGCTACACCATGCAACAAACGATTTATTTTATGACTTGTATTGATTTCTGACGTACATGTCAGTTGTTATACTTGTTATATTAGCTTCGTTTTGCCCGCCCTGCTCAGATTACCCTTTTTCCGCTTTGAAATCGAATTTAGTCCTTTGAGAAACACATGATGACCGTAATAGGCAATTTACTAGTGTTTGTGACTTTCATAAGGTGTAAAACCTTGTTGTGTGCGTCATTTCCCCTACTTTTAGGACTTACAAGGCCCAATTTCCAACGGTTCCACAACGTTTTTTTCTAGAAAAGACAGCGAATGTTTTCTGTTGCTTTGTTGCTTGGCGCAATCCTCATCTGATTGTCCCTGATAGACAACAGTAAATGTTACAAGTATTAATGTTTTTGACGGAGGATGTTTTAATGAAATATTTCAAAGCATGTTTACGATGCTTAATGTAAAGGAGGCTGTACCCAGGCCGGAATAAAAGTTTGTGAAATTGAAGGGTTCCTGCCAAATTTCTAACTCCGGAACTTTGTTCTTTAACGTAAACGATTGATATTTAGGTCGCTAGCCCTTGGATTTTTTAAAGCTAAAATTGTTTTATCTCATCACCTTAACTTACGAGAGGAAATAGATACAGTAAGATTTATTTTATACTTTATCAATAGAAGGTTGAGTGCGCTCAGTCTTTTCTGTTGCGTCTCTAACAGCGATTACTGAATCCTCGTGTGTATATTTAAAGTAGACGCGCAAGGTCTCATCCTTTTACTCCACGAGAAGAAATATGTGAGGTGTTGGACTGTGCAAAGTAAATGAGTCTTTGAGGTAATGATCATTTTCTTTTATAAGAGTGGATCATGAGAGTTAGTTTACATGTTTTACCTCGGAACTTTTGTCGTCCTCTGAGGCTGCATCCTTCACTCTCCACTCCACGAGGTTGGAGAAAACTGCCGTACCAAAAGAAGTGCTTGGCTCAGCATCAGGAAAGTTGTTCATCATATTACCCTGTTTTGCAGGACTGTTTTTCTTCTAAGGAATAACAAAAAAATGTCAAATTGAGCCGCAGATTCGCCAGAGGAGAAGCAGTTATAGCTAGAAAACTAGAAGTAGCCACGCTTACAACATATCTTTATATGATATTTGCTGAAGAAAATAAAGTTTCTTGTTGTAATAATTCGCCCGCAGAATCTTTGCACGGGTTCATAGAAAACTCTAAGGCTCCTTTTATCTCTTTGCTAGATACCATTGCTTTGATAGTTAATTTGACATGTCAGGCCGCATTTGCGTGCTTTAGATACCCGGTTTAGTCTAACAGTCGTAAATGCAGGTAATTTAGTGTTAACAACTGAGTTGAAAACGTAAATTCGCCACCGTTAAGGGTAAGAAATTATGAAAAGGTATGGAGTTCTTGACGTTTGATGAATGTGAAGATGAATACAACAAGTAACTATGTGAATCTGTAGGTTTGTAGCAAACACTTGTGGATGAACGGTTGCCTTCAATTGAAATTTTGATGTCTAGAAAAGCCAAAGAAGTGTCGGAAATTTTCCAGGTATATCTAAGAGCCGGATGAAAGTCAAGAACTCCATACCTTTTTCAAAATTTCTCAGACCTCGTCATTTATGTAGTGACGACTCTGATTTTTCCGAAAAATCAGAGGCAATGTGCCACTTTTTCGATAAACGTGGCTATTCTGTTTCTCTCGTCCAAGGGGACCATTACCGTGCCCAACAAATTGTTCGACAGTCGGCACTACAAACGACTGTTAAGGAAAACACTGACCGCATTCCATTCACTCTTACATTTCGCCCTCACAAACACACGGTCAAATCTATCATTCTTAAAAACTTTAAATTACTCCAAAACGATTCAGAGACTTGCACTATCTTTTCGCAACCCCCACTTATTTCGTTCAAACGTGACAAAAACGTAGGCAACTTTTTGGTCAGAAGTTCATTTCAAACCAATGACTTATCTGGAACTTTCAAATGCGCTCACTCACGATGCAAAACTTGTCCTTTCATTCACAACGTAGAGAGATTATTGGGACCCAAGAGATCCATTAAGATCACTGATCACTTTACGTGTACCTCCGCCAATGTTATTTACTGCATAACTTGCACTTATTGTAATAAGTTATACATTGGCGAAACAGGAAGACGAACGAGGTGACCGACTCCAAAACACCTTCGCGACGTGGAAAGAAATCTCAAAGACGCATCCAAACCAGTCCTGGGAGGTAGTCTTAGTGTGTTTCTAAGTAAGTGATTAACAATTAATTCCAAGCGAAATCAGTTTATTAATTGGTTTTGCGACAGTTTTGACGCCACACGCAACTTTAGCTACACGGGTGTGGCCATTACGTGCAGGATACACTTCAGCAATTCGTTCTAACGGCCAACTTCCTATTGGTGTATCGAGCTGAATCACAAGAACTACATCTCCAGCTTTTAGCTAGGTCTCGGAATTCTGACCTTTCGCTACCGTTGACGCGGATGCAAAGGAGTGGTTTCAACGGACTCAGGCGCGAACTGTCCCCCCATTTGGCCGTGCAAGAAATGGTTAGGGGTCAATGGAACATCATCTCGTGGATCTGAACTCTGATAAGTCAACGGACGGGAATTAAGAAGGGATTCCACCCCAGCGAACACAGTGATCAGCTCCTCGTCGCTTACATCTCGTTCTCCTATAACGACATAAATGACTTTCTTAGCAGCTTTCATGATTACTTCGTGGGCTCCTTCAAAATGTGGGGCACCTTGTGGATTGAATCTCCATGTCAGTCCAAGTTCCGCAGTCTTGCTCTGAAGGTGTCGTCGGTCTAACTGACTGGCTAGTTTCTTTAACTCGCCCACCGCACCCACCCACTGTGCCTCTGTCGCTTATCACTTCCTTAGGAACTCCACGGCGACTGGTGAAACGGGCGAAGGCGTTTAAGAACGTGTCGGTATCAAGTACCCAGGCCATCTCTAAATGCACTGCTCGAGTTTCCAAGCAAGTAAAAAGGCACAGCCACCTCTTCTGTCGTGGTTTTCCGCGTCCTTGAACAGTGTACAAAGGACCAGCAGAAACTGCAGAAGAGGTGACGGTAAACACATCTTCAGTGCTGTTTCACGAAATTCCAAGTGTCTTCGTTATCGGATCTTGACCGCTGTTAATCACGATCTCTTTGGTGCGCTCTTCTGTCGGAATCGCTTCAATAGCTTTCCTCATCGTTTTCAACACAGTCAATAGAATCGTCCATGAAGGTTGACTTAAGGACGGTCTCAGTGGCAAGGGGATAGCGGTCTTCGAGCGTTCTCCTGCGGAACAAATTGCGACTCCATAGGGTATCTTTCGCAAATATTCCTTTTCAACATAGGCCTGAATAGTTGCTCGATATTCATCGGCGACGCGGCTGTTTTTCTTCAGATTTCCATCGGTGCTTGGGAGGCGAGAGAGTGCCATGGATTTAGTATCAGGGAGATCGGGTTTGTTTTCTTTCTAAGGGACGGCTACACGATATCTTCCATTTTCGTACTTAAGGAATCTTTCTTTTGCCGAAGGCTAGTCTTTCTTCTTCGGTGAGTACGAGTCTGCCATCGCAGTCTGTGCCAGACTTCTCGATTTCCCAGAATCTCTTTAAGCTGTTGTCGACGTCACAACAGGATTCTTTTCCCTCGCTCCAAATAGGTTCTCTACTGAACAAGGAACGGATAACGTGAAATCGTGTTCTCGCGGTCTCGTTTTCGTCAGGTGCACCAATACAGCTCTGCCCAAGTTGTCCGAGTCGGGCGATAGGTCAACCATTTTTTCCACGGAGATCAACGTGCGAATGATGGAGTTCAGTGTTATCTATGCCAATCAAAAGATCGACAAGCCCATCATTTGCTGGCTTAGGAAAATTGCACTGGGTCAGATGCAGCCATTTATTCTGATGGTCCGGCGTTCCAGTTCACAACTCTGTAATTGCCAGTGACTTTTTACGGACACGTTTTTGCGCTTGTTTCCTTTGAAAACCTGCCATCTACACTTTCGATTTCAATTTTTATTGGCATGGACTTAAATGTTTCGACGGTGTCACTGAGCACATAAACTTGAACTTTTCCGAATGGCTCTTGCAGTCCCAGCATCTCAGCAACCGCTTCGTTTTGGAAAGTTTTGTTCGATGCATCTTCTAGGATGGCGTTTATTTTTACTTTTCTTCCATTAGTCTTCATCCACACAGGGACAATTTGTAACGAGTAAGACTAAGTTGGCGTTTCTGTATTACAGCTGGTCAGGGTCACAGTGAGCGCTCCCTCCCGTGGAACATCTGGGCGTTTCCCATCGTCAGCATGAGGTAAGATTGTTATCGGTCCGGTTTCTGATGAAACTTAACTTCCACGAAGAAGGCGGTGGTGATTTCGAGAACTACCATCTATTCCATACATGCGAGCCTATGGACAATCTTTCCCCCTATGATCAGAGGTTAAGCAATAAAAACACAACTTTTTTTCTTTAGCGATCTTCCAGCAGTCATCCACACCTCGGTCATAAACTCCTTACAAAACCACACCCCGTGATCGAAACTCTGGTAGAGAGAACATGGAGGCTTCGTACTATTTGGCTCCTTCCCTATTGCAGCAGCATGAAAATTTCGCATCCTGCTCTGTTCCTGGTAACTCGGTACTCTCGGTGGTCTAACGTGCTCGACAGGTTTCGGCTCAATCCCATTCGCCATTTCCGCTGCTTCTATAAAGCCGTGACTAAATTTTGTCTGGCGCGTTCGTTCAACCAGCGACTGTAATTTTCCAGCTGGCGGTCAGGCAACTTTTTCACCAGCAAGCTGTGAAGAGTTCCATCTTCTACCTCTCCGGCGCCTGTTCTAGTTGATCCAAGCAGGCTCGCAGAACCCGGCGCGTACCTCCATACTTCGTTTTTAATATCTCTTTGGCCTCCTCGTATTCGTGGACGGTGACTCCAAGACCACGGATGGCTTCCAAGGCGTTCCCTGTGAGGCATTGTCGCCGCCTTGCCATCTTCAAATTTACTGGCTCTGTTGAGTCGTCTACTAGACTTGTAAAGAGGGCCCAAAAAATCTTCAAACTTTCTTTTGTCACCATTTAATGTCGAAACTTTTAACGGCTTCTATTATCGATTTCGGTCGTTGTGGCTGCGGTGACTCTCGTTTAGCAATTCTTCTCTGGCCGATTGCTCGTAGCGATGCGTCGCGTTCTCGCTAAATGGCGTGTTCATATTTATGATTTTGCACGATCGGACTTTGATCGCATTTTGTCCCGCTTCGATCGCTCTTTGTACGTCTTTTTCGATGGTTTCTGACTTTTTAAAAGCTTGGTTTTTCCCAGTGTCTTCTCCGACTTCGACATAGAAGGCGGACAGCTCCTCTAAGATTTCTTGTGCGTCTTCAAGGGCTGCCCACAACTACTCAATCATACTTTCTATGTCCGTTACTTCGGAATCCTTCACGCATAGTCTTTCTAACTCATGTCTGAGTTTTGTCACTTTTGTTTTTGCGGAGCGTTTTATTGTTTTAATCTGAACTAACAGATCGTCATTTTGCTTCTGTCTGTTGACTCCATTCGCAATTTCGTCATTTTTCTCGGTAACATCGCTGTCCTCGAATTCGGTAGCCATAGTGCACAACTCAGAACTAAAAAACTCACATCACAAACGAAACCTCAAACAAACACCAGTTCATACCTTTCTCCCATCGTGGTCGCCAGAAATGTTCGGATGCGTTAACGAAAATCTCCTTTCAAAGCAGGTACGTTTAATCGGTAAAAAGACGATAAAACGGTAACGGCTTAAAATACATACTCAAAAACTCTGAAGAAAAAAACCACGCGAGAAATCGTACGCGTAACTTGCTTACGAACTGTTCAAATTAAATGTCTCAGCGCGCGTGCGTTAAATTGAATCGCACGACACGCTGGTCCGGTACTTTCTTCTTAACAGAAGGAATTCAATGAAACAAAGCCGCATTAAGTCTCCTTGTGTCTCGTTGGAGTGTATCATTCGAATTTACTTTTTGTGGAGGAAAAAACAGATTTACACACGCCATGGCAGCAAACAAACCAGCAAACTCCCACAACTTCAAAATAAAAAATTTGAATTAACTTACAATTACTTTCCTCGCCGTTTACTTAATGAACAAAGGTAAATCTTCGTACATAAATTGATCGTCGATGAGAGTGAACAATACTTTCCGTTAGATTATTGACTGTTTTTGAAGAAAACATTGTCGTGATAGTTCTTGCCAAACTAGTTTCGTTGTTTTTCAAAAGTGTACATGCGCTTTTTCTTTTCTTAAGCGCTCTCTAATTGACAGGTGTCAGATTGTGACAGATACTTGTATAAAAATGTTTCAAAGTTTGTTTGGAAGCCTTTTAAATCACCTTTATCATTACGCAAATGAAAATGTTCTCTTTAATTTGCGTAACCTCTATTTTAACTACCATTGACTCACTCAAAAACTGTTCAGTTTATGGAAGAACTTGCCGTATTTATAGCCCTAAATCATTCGGGTTCTTTCGGAATGAATTTCGTTAAGTTTGAAAAAAATAACACATTTTTTTTTTCCGAGGGCACGGTAACGAATCCTGCAATCTGATTGGCTCTTTACCCGGTCAGTATTTTCCTATCTCTGTCCACGGGCCACGGTAACGCTTTCGTGAGTCGCCGAGTACATCCAAACTTTCGTTGCCATTTTTCATAGATATATATCGTTTTTCCGGCTGGTCAGTATTTTTAAGCAAATACGTCGGCCACTACCTCAAGCCGATAAATAACTTATGAATCCTCTCTTTTCTCTCTCTCAAATCACTTTTGTTGACAGTAAAATATTGGTTTCAGAGTGAATTTGTATAAGCAATAGCGTCATTACTTTGGTTGACAAGCGGCCTAAAAACCGTCTGCAATTAATTTTAATCGTTCACAAAAATTACCTAGAAAGTTAAAAAGTGAGGTATTTGGTTACAGTTAAACTGAACGATGGAACTTTCATTTATTGAATACCTGAATTTTCTCAAACAATTTGTTCGTAGTCAAAGAGAGAGAGAAGTTTTAATTTCAGTTCTACAACAAATCTACGCTCTCAGTAAGTCTTTCCAAGTCCGTTCAGTTTGGACAATTGTACCGTAAAACTGAAGGAATTTATCGTGAAAAGGCCGCGTTAAATCCACTTGTGTCTCGTTGGAGTGTGCCATTCGAATTTAGTTTTTGTGGAGGAAAGACCTGATTTACACACGCCATTGCAGCAAACAAACCAGCAAACTCTCACAACTTCAAAATAAAAAATTTGAATTTACCCACAATTACTTTCCTCGCCGTTTACTTAATGAAAAGGTAAATCTTCGCACATCAATTAATCTTCGATGAGAGTGAATAATACTTTCCGTTAGATCATTAACTGTTTTTCAAGAAAACATTGTCGTGACAGTCCTTGCAAAACTAGTTCCGCTGTTTTTCAAATGTTCTTGCGCTCTTTTTTCTTACGCGCTCTCTAATTGACAGGTGTCAGATTGTGACAGATACTTTTAAAAATAATGTTTCAAAGTTTGTTTGGGAGCCTTTTAAATCACCTTTACCGTCACGCAAACGAAAAATTTTCGGTGAGGCATCTCTCTTTAATTTGCATCACCTCTATTTTAACTACCATTCACTCGCTCATAATTCTTCGGTTTATAGAAGATCTTGCTGTGTTTACAGCCCTAAATCATTGGGGTTCTTTCGGAAAGAATTTCGTCAAGTTAAAAAAAAATAAATATGTTATTTACCGGCTAAGGGTCGGTCCGTATGGTGAAAAACTGTGACCTCGGTCTTGAAAATATTTCCCTCTATTCTAGAGTACTGATTAAATATCATCCAAAAGCATCATTTGGAAATCATTCTCAGGGATCCTAAAAAGAAATTATGTTGCCAAAGGCTATTTTTTTGTTTTCCGGTTGATACAAAGAATGAAACGATCTCCTTGGACGAGACGAACAGGTCATCTGATGACATTTCTTTCTAGGGGCCTGCACAGTCTGCAGTCTGTGTTTTATCATGACCGAACTTGCTTAAGCTATCCTAAACAAAACCGTCAACGAGGTAGAGTAGTTACTACAGCCTCTCGTGAAAAATCACCTATTTTTTTCAGGAAGCTCGAGTTCACGTTACGATGGCGTCCAATTAAGTTTAACTTTAAGGATCGAAGATAGGTCTTGCCGCTATCGATGTCATATACATTGGCCTCCCTCATGCCAAGGAGGCTGTCATAAAAAGAGATTAATATCAAGTTCAGCAAGTAAGATGATAATTCAAAGTGCCATCAACTGAAAACTCGCAGTAGAAGAGGAGGCACTCGACAACGAAATGTTTTCGTCGATAATAATCTCACCTTCCCCTTAGCTCTGTGATCACCGCGCAAAGATCAACGGTGGTAAATCTTGTCTTCATCTTGGAGACACAAAATAAATAAAACACGACGAATATCGGGAGTTAATGACACCGAAACGTCTTATTTTGCAAATCTTCTTCTACTTCGTCCGTCATTTTGGATTTCCCTGGCGCTTGTTTGAATTAAAAACACCGCTGGTTTTATTCGACGGCGACTTGAAAAGTTCTTATGAAAACTCTAGCTGAATGCATGTTCAACAGTCAGCTTTGGTGATAATCACTTCTTTTTTCATGTATGTATATATAGATATTTATTTCAGTTTACAAAAATGAAAAAAAATATGCCCAATTGTTATAATGATTAGCTATATAACAGTCTGCATGATGCACAGTCATTGGTTGCTGTCACATTCGGTACTACATAAAATGAGGAATACTACAGAAAGAGAGAGCTGTTGTTATGCTGCTCTTCTTAAGGAGATCCTAAGGGTCTCTGCAAGAAATAAGCATGCAATGTGCTTTGCAGCCAGTTTGTGATGTAACACTAGGAGACACAACTGATCTTGATGGCGAGTACATTATGCACTTCTCCATGTTAAAAAGACTAAAACTTAGTCATGACTTATTCTCTTGAAGATACTATTAAATTTGAAAATCCTAAAAAAAGCCCCTAAAATTTGAAAACCCTAAAAAATCCCCTACAATGTATCTTCAGTGCTCTTGCTTTCAGTGCTTCCTAATGATCACAACAGAGACATATCTGGAAGAAATTGGGTAAAACCGATACAATCTTGTTACTGTAGGCCTAACAATGACACCGAGAAACCTCTGATCTCTAAAGTACTTCCTACATCAATCACTGTGCAACAGCTTGACAACTAATCTGCCATGGGCGGCATGCAACATTGGTATGCAGAATATTTTAGAATAATCTTGATACATGAAATGAAAAGGCGATAAGAAACATTTCCCCCCGTCCGTCCCTGACATGGTATATTGAAGTATAGAAAAATCTGACAGAACTTGAATCTCTGTTTACAATATATAAACAAAGAAAAGACAATATGAAACATTCCTCCCCAACCCTAACATGATATCTGTAGTAACTAGCATGTATAACGGAGAACTGTGTCCGGAATACCTAGAACAAAACAAAAACGAAATCAACTGACAAACACTCATAATTTAACACATTAAATGCTAATATAACAATAAGCTTTCCAAGGAGTTTTGAATCTAAAATTGTTTTCACTTCTTCTTCACTTTAACTTTTGATTGCACTTGTCGTAATTTGTACTTACTAATTAAATGTCACGGAATGTAATGCAATCCAGTACATCACAACATCAAACTTAAACTTCATCGCTATGCCATTCCATCATTTGAAAATGCTAAAAAAATGAATTTATATTCTTTTCTAGCACGTACTTCGTACACCTTCCAATAAAGTTCTTACCGTGGAACACAAGTTCACCAACGTCATTTACCATAGAAATCTTCTGCTTCACATTGTTCCTAAAAAGATGAACACTGTCAGCAAATGACATGCATTATGGTACAACTTAATAACTTCCCATTTTTGACCCATGTTTTTCAATGAAAATTTCCTTTTAATCTTGCTGTTACTTGAAAACACAAACTTCTATTGTCTAATACCAAAAATATTTTTCGCATTCATAAAACCTTAGCATACACTCTACGGAAATTTGAGCCTGTCAGCCATTCACATGTATAACATAAATTTATTACAACTTGGTCAATCTCATTTCTATCTCTTCTAGAGGCAGTTCACAGTCATGCTTTATCTTTTAGTTCTAATAGACTCCTTCTTTTGCTCTTACGAAGGACACTCTTTACAGCGGTCAATTTACATTATCGACTCAGTTAATGAAACCAGATAATCTGTTTCTAACAGTCTCTGCTTTACTTCTGATTGCATTTTTTAAAGTCAATGGCTTTTATTTTAGTTTTATGAACTCAAACCAAGTGCAGCAAAATCAATTTTATTAAATCCACTTGGTTTTAATTTTACAAGAATATAAAAAATCAAGCAGTATCATATTTTTCAGTTATAAAATAAACTATTTGTTTCTTATACTCACGGGATGAATGGTTTGGCAAACTTGAAAACAGCTTTCAGGGTGAATTTGGCCTTTAAAATGATGCAAAAGTTCAATCCTTCAAAGAACCTGCAGAAAAAAATGAAAGAAACGTTACAGTTTGATATATATCATTACTAAAATCTGTCAGATAAAACC